AAGCATAGCCAGATGTTTCTCAGAAGCTAGGATGGTGATATTCCAATCTCGTATCCGCGGACATGTTACCGAGATTTGAACTACTGCCCGGAGAAGGACAGGGTGCTTGGGAAAGCAGAGGGTCGGCATTAAATGGGAAGACCTTCAAAAGGATGGGTTGACAAAGGACTGCAACCATGGGCTCGATCATAATGATTGAATGGATGGGCAGTACTGAGCAGTGTTTTTACCTGTTCTAGAGGGGTGACTGTGGGTCTGAACCAATTTAGCAACAATAGCAACAATAGCAATATGATTAAAAGGACAGGCATTGCCAAGGCTCAAAAAAAAAAATCACTGCAGTGTAGTTACTATGAATGTTGGGTTACAGACATAAAACCTAGAACATAGCTTGGTTAAGGTAACCGAATTAGATCTGTGACAATGTTGGGGTGTGAAATGAGGTTTAGCCAACTTGAAGCTTCCATGTTTCTCTGGGTACTGTGTGCTCTTTCTCAAACCGACAGACTCAGGCATGCATTTCATTGTGCTCGCACACGGACACGTAGGCATTCACTGGGTGGGACACGACTGCAGCAGATGGACAGGGAGATGGAAGACCATGGTTTCACAGGACCACCTTCTGACTGAGTGGCAGAGGTCCCCACATATTTGAGCTGGAGCTGCAAATTCTCCGCAGGGGGACTGACTAGAAGGAACTGGTTCCAGGACCTGTCCTGAGCCTCAGCCTCTACACCAGAGTCTCCCAAATGAGCAGATACATCAGGATACCCAGCAGGCTGGGGAGACACGGTTTCCGGGTCTCGCTCATGGGTGTCTTGTTCAGTGTGACTGGGTGGGACCCAAGGATTTGAAAAACGTGATGCTGATGCTGCTGGTTTGCGCTCTTGGCAACTCCTACCCTGTCTCTCATCCTGAATGTACCTGCGGGAGAAACAGCGGGGACTGGGAACAGGGCAAATGGTTGTAAATTTCTAGATGTAAACTGGACCCAGCATGGTTACCAGCAAGAGCAATGGCACATTTTGAAGCTGGCATTTTAGATGTTAGGTCATCTTCCTCATTGAATCACTGGGTGCTTGGTTACAATACACTGTGCTGTTAAAATGGTAATGACAGCTTCCACCTAAGAAACTAGGTTTGCATCTACAAATCCCAGGCCCCGTCCTATTTGTCGCAAAGAATTTTTGTTGTGGCTCGGCTCTTTTCCATCGGTTCTGATGCACAGCGAGCCTCTCTAGGTACAGCAGAGTAAACATGCTGGGTCCTGTGCTGCCATCCTCACTGTGGTGGTCTGCTTGAACCCACCCTCGTGGCCATTGTTCCAGTTCATCTCCTGAGGATCTTCTGTTTTTCACTGTCCCTCTACTTTATGAAGCATGACACGGAAAATGATAGGAGGAAGCCACTCTGCATAGGGCTCTTCATGTTTGGGGTCCAATCCATTTCGCTCTAAATACCAATTTTACGGAAAGCATTGTGCCTGCTATGCTGTGTCATGTAAGGGCTGGGTGGGAAACCAAGGTCTACATGGGTGTCTTTAGTGAATCAGGGTCAAAAGTACCTACCTGCAAAGGTTTTTTTGGTGGTTCTTTTTTTTAGGAGTACATACGAATGCCTGGAAATCCCCTTGTTGTGTTGACACGTAGTAGGGTTGTTGAAGCTGGCATGTAGCTCTCTGTTCCCTGCTTGGCTCCTCTTTCCATAACCTCTCCCTCCCCTCAGAGATCAGATCAGGAGGGAGCCTAGAGCCTGGATGATGATAGATGGGTGAGCATCACCAGCGAGGATTCTTCTCCATTTTCTTGCTCTGTGGTTTTTTGCGGATGGGCCACAGCGAGGCAGTAAGGCAAGGGAAGATGCAGCTGCCATTGCTTAATGGGATGATGTTAGCGAGGCACAGGACTGGCTCTTTGGCCCAGCTCTTACCAGAGATGGCTTGAAATTGAAATGGAGTGGCCGGTCTGATGATGCCTGGCTGTGTGTATTAGGAGGGCCAGGAAGAGGCTCAGCGGCGCCCCCATTAGGGATAAGAGTCTCCGCCCTGCCCTGGAGCCAGGCCCCTGCAGGCCCCTCAGAACTTCCATCTTGTGGGATTTATGGAAGGTGGTTGTGAGTTTCTGCTGCATTCTAATTTGTGTGCTGTGCTCTGCAACTTCAGGGATGTTTCCCCAGATGACACACTAGCCATTTGGGGCACAGAGAAGGCCCAATCAACCCCTTGTCCTCTTGTTCTTGGGAGATGTTGCTACAGTGGGGTTTAGATCTGAACCACAGCAATGGGGGTCAGTCCCTGAGTGCCCAGGGAGCAAGAAGCAGAGGGGCTTATAAACAAAACCCAGGTTCCCATTACCACACACATCCAGGTGAGACCAAGTCTCCTCTTGCTTTCTCCTCTTTTTCTCCCAACTGCTACCTATGAAGGACCTGCTGAGTGTCTGGTCACTGTCTCCTGTCCTATCCTGCCCATCTGGCAGCTAAACTGAGACCTGAGGAAGTGAGGAGGCTTACCATACAACCTACTTCAAAACCACTGTAGAAGGAGAGAGTACTGCCTCCATGCCTGCTCCTCCCTCCTTATCAGAAAAATGGGGCAAGGCCCTTTATCACAAAGACCTTCTTGGAGAAAACCAGGCAACACATATAAAGTACTCGATGGAGCACCAAACACACAGTAGGTGCTCAGTGAAAGTTGTTTTCTTTCTTCCCCCTTTCCTTCAAATCCCTGGTGCCTGGAGTTTTTCTAACCCTAGGGGTTTTCCAATGTATCAAGGAGGGTGCAGAACCAGACAGTCATTCCTTCTGTATGACACAGGGTCACTGAGTCAGAACTGACCCCAGGGCACTGCCTAGCAACAACAACGTTGGCAGTGGGGAAGTTTACCTCAATATGAATTCTCTCTTGGTTTGTGTCTAGACTTGAGTTATTCTTTTTGTTTAGTTGTATTCCATTGTTACCACCTCACTCTCTTGCTATTGGCCCTGGGGTCTCTTAGCTTTAGGGAGTTCTAAAGTGGCACAGTGGGAAAGTTTTCAGTTGCTAATGAAAAGATTGGTGGTGTTAACCCACCAACCTCTCCATGGGAGGAAGACGAGGCTGAGTCTGTAAAGATTTAGTCTTGAAAATCATATCATTGTGTGCTCACCTCCATGATACGATTGCTGAAGACAAATGGGTGTATAAGCAAATGTGGTGAAGAAAGCTGATGGTGCTTGGCTATCAAAAGGTATAGCGTCTGGGGTCTTAAAGACTTGAAGGTAAACAAGCGGCCATCTAGCTCAGAAGCAACAAAGCCCACATGGATGAAGCACACCAGCCTGTGCAATCACGAGGTGTCGAAGGGATCAGGTATAAGGCATCATCAGAACAAAAAATCTTACCACAGTGAATGATGGGGG